TCTTTTTGAGACAGGGTCTCCCTGTAGCCCCAGCTGTCCTGGAACTCACTATATAGACCAGGCTGGACTTGAACTCACAGAGATCTGCCTGCCTCTGCCTCCCAAGTGCTGGGATTAAAGGCGTGTGTGCCACCACTCCCAGCGTGACTTATCTTTTTAAGTAATGTAAATAATATCTTTTCTAATATTGCTCTGTATTTGTTTTAACTCTATAGATGACTTTGAATTGTGAACTCAGCACCATCTTGATTAGTAGTTTCCACTGTATATTTGTGTGTTATTATGTACATTTGATCTTAGCCAAAAGGCTGAGAAACAATTCTATCATTATGTGAATTTTATCTAGTGGAATAATTAAAAATAAATTTTGTTTGAAAAGAGTCAAAAGTATTGCTAGTTAAAGGTGAGATTTTTATCATCTAGAAAATAAGAGTATCAACTTCAAAGACACTTTACCAGGCATCTTTTAATACTATTTACAAATAAAATGCAAGTACATGATCACACACATAGCAGCTTCCCATACAGCACCAATAGGGATTCACTGCAGGATTCTAACCAGGCAGCCCGGACCCAGAGCCCATTTTAACTTTCGTGCTGTGTCACTACATGCTGCATCATAGACTTGATTCTAATTATTGTGATAAGAAATAGACCAGTAGTACTGGAAACTGAAAGGCTCACATTCAAAGGAGCTATTTCATGCATATTTCAAATTCTTTCCCTTCATGATTTTCTTGACTATTGCTCAAACTTTTCAAAGATACCACTCTTCCAAGACAGGGCTAGCCAGATCATATTTCCCTTCACCTTCAAGTTTGGTTTGCTTTAACTGCAAGCATTTTCTCATGATGGCAGGAAGTGTCAATGCCATCTAACAAGGCATGAAGAATGTGTGATTCCAGCCTCTTCTGAAAACTCAAGTCAATGTAGTTAAATGCCCGTTATCTTCGGGTCACCCTTCACTCTTGTGGCCAAAAGAATGCAGCCCTTCCACACAGTTTCCTCTCTGGTTCCTCTCCATAAGATCTACATGATCTGTGTAAATGTATTCCTTTTATTTTTAAAAGGGAATCGATTTTCTTTCTTCTTGCAGAACAACAGATAACCCTTCCAATTTTCTTCTCCAATTAACTAGTGAATTGAATAGGAAAATCTTTATTTTTCTTACAATCAAATCTCACAGTGCACATATATAGACGTGAAAATCCATTCTTTTCATTTAGACTTCAGGTTCATTTGCCAAACAACTTCCAAATCTTTCACTGTAAATGCAATCTATTTAGAGGCTTTTAATAGCCTCTGGTCTAGATTTGTAAAACAAGAAAATAAAAAATAAAGTGCTTCCATGCAGGCAGGAATGTTCCAGGAGAGTCAGACCTAAATTGGAGGTTTTATATTTTTTTCAGTTTAAGAGGATTTAGTGTTAAGTGTGAAAATGAGCCCTCACTATGACACCAGGTTAGGGCAGAGGACTTCATGTCTGAAAGGGGATGTTGCATTCCTGGCTCTGCCCTAAGTCTTAGGTTCTTTGTCTAGAGAATAGGCCCAGTCACATCAATCATGCTCAAGCACAAAGATACGGCAATAGCTTAGTAAGATGGTCCATAACCTATGTTCATACATCTATCATCAGCATAGAATTGTGCAAGTGTATCCTCATCAGAAAAAGTGGTTTCTAAGAGCTTTGTTATTTTTTCCATATACACACATATTGCAACAGGCTAATCTTTAATTCTGAGAAAGGTCTACATGGACAGGAACAAATAAACCTTGGGGAAAGAAAAATAGAGCTCCGTGTGGGGTCTACACGTGATATGTTCAGAGCAAACATTTTAGAATAATTCATTTGTTTTTTATTGTTTCTTGGCTAGGGTTTCTTTCTGAAGTTTACAGATTCTCAGTCCTTTCTATCCAATTTAGACATTTTTTATGTTTTCCTCTAGAACATGCTTGGTCCGTGGATTCCCAGAATGTAATGATTTGCTCTTCTCTATGCTCTGAGCTGCCTCTGGGGGTGAAATGAGAGCTGAGATCTTTGTTGGTGGAAGGCTCTGGTTCTGCAGAAACCCCCTAATCCCCTGTTTACCACAACATGAGTCTATTGCCATAGAGATGATAGCTGAGATCCCACATTCTGCACCACTGGCTTCACAGCAGGGCTGGGTAAGAGGAGAAGCTAGGCTAGCAGGGAACCAGAATTCACCAGAATAGTAGGGACTCTGTTGTCTGGAAAGAAAGGGGAATTGTCCACAATAAAATAAAAATGCATGAATGAGCTATGTTGTTGGGTATGCTGTAGTTTCTTTTCTGTATAATACTGCCTGATGACAAGTAGTAATTTGGAATCTTATGTCATTCAATAGTTTGCTTGCAAAAAAAAGGTCAGCACTTTCCCTTAACTACATTTGTTTCTTATTCGAATAAGAAGCAAATAGATTCTAATTAATCTTGCACAATTGATGTTCTGTGGCCCCTTCTCACGATGCATTGTTTTGTTTATGTGTTTATTGTACGTGTGTCTGGTTTTGTCTTGTTTCTATTAACAGAAGAGAGTGAAGCTGAGCAGGACACTAAAGGTATTTTTTCCTTCTTTAATCTTGCACAATTGATGTTCTGTGGCCCCTTCTCACGATGCATTGTTTTGTTTATGTGTGTTTATTGCGTGTGTCTGGTTTTGTCTTGTTTCTATTAACAGAAGAGAGTGAAGCTGAGCAGGACACTAAAGGTATTTTTTCCTTCTTTCTGAGCTGCTTCTTTTTAAATGCATGGTTCTTTTTAGTTGCTTATTTTCCCTGACCTTCTAAGGATGCTTCAAAGCATCCTTAAGTGCTATTAGTTTATTAAGTAATGACATAACAGAGCATTGAAAGGTGGGCTGCTTTCAAAGACTCCTTATTAACCATTTGCATTTTTTTAGTTAAAAACAAATATGTTTCACCTACACGCATATAAGTGTACCACTTGTGTGCAATGTCCATGGAGGCCAGAAGAGGGCGTCAGATCCCCTGGAAGTGGAATTACCAACAATTGTTAGTCTCCATGTGGGTGTTCTTAACCAGTGGCTGAGCCATCTCCCAACCCGCCCCCCCCATTTACATTTCTTAATTAAACACTGGGTCAGGGGAAATGTTTGAATTGGGTATCCCAAGTTCTGGAAACACAAAGTGAAATGGCGTAAATGAACATGTAAGAGAATTAACCCACACAGGTCAGAGCAGGAACTTCTTTTCTTGAGAGAGTAAGTGCTATTAAGGTTTTAGAGAACTGACTGGACATGATGCCATACGCCTTTAGTCCCAGCACTCAGAAGGCAGAGGCAGGTGATCTCTGTGACTTCAAGGCCAGCCTGATCTACAGAATGAGTTCCAGGATGAGCTGGGCCTACAGGAAGACCCTGTCTCAAAAAGACCCGCCCCCCCAAAAAAACCCTTTTTTTTAGAAAACTGGTAAAACTTTAAAGTGCTAGCTTAAGGTTTTTACTGTTACTAACATTTCAACCAGACAAGGAGTTTTATGCAATTGCTCCAGATCAATAGAATTGAGTTATTTTCTTTTAATTCACGTGGACATGCATATTTTACCAAATATGTTAAGAAAAAAAAGGAACCAGAAACCAAATTTGTCTGGAAAAAACCCTATTGTAGAAGAAATTTCCCATCACAAAAAGCATTTTACATCTTGAATGAGTCTGGTTCTTTGTGCTATTCTGACCTAAGCTTTGACGTTTTGAGGGTAAAATTCACAAGTTCTCATGTAACACAGTTTGACTCTAGGGATTCACCTTGGGCTGGAATTATTTAAAACAGTTCTTTCTTGTCTTACAGTCACAAAGTAAGTAGACTGAGTATCCCTTACCCAAAATGCTTGGGGTCAGAAGTGTTTCAGATTTCAGAGTTTTTCAGACTCAGGATTATTTGCATAGACTTTACCAGTTGGATATCCCTAATCTGAAAATCTGAACTCTAACCTGTGTCTAAATTGAAACTTGAGAGTTAGGTTGGCATTCCCAAAGTTTCAGAGTGGTTCCAATTTTAAAATTTCAGATTAGGGACAGGCACTATGTTAGATTCTTGCCTTGTGACTGTGACAGGGTAACTGACAGCACTTTAAAGAAGTTTATTGTGGCTCAGAGCTTCAAGGAATGCAGTCCACTCTGGCAGGGAAAACTCCGCTGATGCAGCTCTGTCTACAGCTGCAAGTGTGGGAGATAAAGCGCCTCAGTAGTCAGAAAGCAGAGGGCTTAGGCCAGTACCAGAAATGCACATAACCCTTGAGGCCCACCCCTAGTGACCCAGTTCTGCTAGCTAATCCGCATGTCCTAAAGAATCCAGAAACGTCCAAAACAGCACAACCAACTAGGCACCATAGACTCAAACACATGAGCCTGTGGGGGACATTTCAGACTCAAAGCATTCCAGAGTTGCCCAAACTGTATATGAAATGTTTTCCTTCTTCTATATATCAGGCTGTTTCCAACAGAAATCAAGTAAAAGCATTTAACCTGTACTCTGGGTTACATTTTAGTCATCTACCTTCTCCCTTTATTTCCTGTCAGTTATTCTGGTTTGAAACATTTGAAAAACTCTTCAAAGGAAGATAGAAAATAATAAAGAAGGAAAAGAATAGGGGGAAATAAAATGTGTGTGATCTCACTGAATCTTTTAGAGACTGACCAGAGACTTAAAAATTCCTCTAGGCCTGCTTTGTTGACTAGGAGAGAGAGACAGATGATCCATCATTTCAGGACTCAGTTTAGGTCTCTGTTCCCTGAGTCTCTCATGACGTGACAAGGACAATTTCAGAGTGAATGATGGCTTTGTCGCCTGAACACACACTACCTCTTAATCAATAATAAAACTGATTATGGATCTGAAAGTACTTTGAAAAACTGGAGGTGGTAGGTTTGGGGGATGAGACAGAGGGAACATGGCTGTGTTTGTTATAAAGAACTTGGGAATTGCTGCTCTTAAGCACAATTTTGATGTAGGAGCCTCAACTTTCAGATAGCTCTGCAAATCTACCCAAAAGAAATAAAGCCCAAAACTCATGAATAGATTCCATGAGACAGAATCCAAATATTAAACTTACTGCCTGTGTCTATTTTTCATGGTGTTGGTGGATAATAATATGGCTGCCCACAGGAAAGTGGATGAAAAGGCTCCCACAGTGAGTTGGAGAATGATAAACAGGCCTATGCACAGCAAAAGGAGTTATAAAATGTCAGAAGAGTTATTACCTTCTTCCGAATTACAAAATAATTTTAAACTCCTTCCATGAAGCAGTTTACTTGTTTATATAACAAAAATATGCATATTTTATTATATGCAAACAAAATGAAAAATAAAGATAGACATTTTGTTGGATAAGAAACATATCATGTTTTTTTAATTGATAACTTAGAATGTATTTTCAGTTTGTGCCTACCCACTAAAGCAATGGGATTCACTATTGAACTATATCCAAGTTTATTATTGCAAGTGTCTAATAATCCATGGAAGGTAGTTGGACATTTATGTTTAATTGCAGCTGATAGTATTGTCGCCAGTGCTTGCTAAAAGGGTTGAAATTTCTCTTTGACTTTCACATTTAGAACTAGAAACAAATATAATTTATTAAAGATACATGAGCTTTTTTGCTAATAAAGCTGGATTGAGAAATAAAACTTCCAAGTCCAACTAGTGACTGGACCATCATAACTTTGTTGGCTCATTCTTCTTGCCCTTCCCAACTCTTTCATATTTCACATGTAATAAGTGGATAGCCAGGTCCTGACCTGGTGAGCTTTCTACCACACACACTCCTTTCCCTTTGTATAGGAAGGATAAGTGGGAAGGTGATGGTCAAGAAGAGCTGAGATACACATACTCAACACAACGCCCTTCCCTGATGTCATCAGAGAAATCACTCACTCACTCAGTTATTCATTCACTTGTATTTATTGAGCACTTACCCTGTACCATGCAGGTCTCATCTGGAGGTAGATTTGGATTCACAGGCACATCAGTCATCCAACAGTGATGGATAAAACAAACCCAGACCTTGTTATCCTTGCCTCCCAAGGAGAGGGACAATTAACACACAGATAAATAGATCAGCAGTTGTCAAGTAGTGATGAGTATTGTGGAAAAATATAAGCAATAAGGGGATGAAGATGAGAGAAAGCTGTTTGCTAATAAGACATTTCAATGGAAACCCAGGAGACTTAAGCGACATTTGGGCCTTCCTTTGAGAGCACAGGGACAGTGAAAGGAAGAGTTGAAGGGACCTTTCACTACTGAAAAAAGAGGGTAGAGTCTTTATTTTCTGGAGAGAATGTGAGGGTGTGGGGAAAACCAGCCTCACTGCAATCCCTGGTGTTTTTTGTAACACTGCACTTAACAATGAAACTAGTTTGGGGGAGAATAGCAGTTTATTAGTAGTTTTATCTCTTCAGAGCAATGCTCTTTAGCATGCCCTGCTAGAGCCTCTAGAAGGTTCTGAAATGGGGTGGAGCAGGGAATCCTGTAAGTCTGATATCATGAGAAACTGTGGAAGACTAACTGATTTATTGACTATCTCACATTGTGCTTAGCCGTGTTGTGCAATATGGCCTATGGACCATCAGAGGTTTTGCAATGAGCCCAAATGATATTCCAAATAATGGAAGAGCAGCCAAAAGAAAAGCTGTAAACTAGAACACAATAAACCCACCCTGATTACTAGATTTCTAAGGAGAATGTAAAGTTCCCAAATAAAAACATTTGCCTCCATAAATCAAAACAGGGAACGAGAGAAGCCATCTAAATTTCATACTTCTGCAGGTGTTTGTTTTTTGGGGTTTTTTTCTTTTTTGTTTTTTTTGTTTTGTTTTGTTTTGTTTTGTTTTTATTGTGCTCATCTCCTGTCAGAAGGCTCTTGTTCAAATTCAAGGGCACAGTCAATCTTCTTAGAACACTTTCCTGGTATGTATGTGATTGATTATCCAACTCCAAGCCTCTCAAGAATCTCACTTGTTTCAATGCTCAGAGCAATGGGCGTCATGTGGTATTAATTACAATGGACTCATACTCAAAACCCATAGTGCTAAGCCGGATAAGAACTATCCAGCCAAATGCTACAGGCTTAAATCTAGTGCATAGTCTAGGTCTCCATTATTGTCACCAGAAAACATTAAGAAGAGGATCTGGATGCCACTTGCTAGGATACCAGACAGCCTAGGTTTTCAGTCAAAAGTCCACACAGCCTTTGAACTCAGACTAAGTTGGGAGGACAAGCATCCAAAGAGATCCCTACACAGTGTTTGGATGATATGTCTCTTAAATTTCTTCCAGTCTGTAACAGATCACGCCCCCTCCACACTATTTATAGAAAGAACTAAATAATTTGCCATTTTCAATTTCTTGCATTCTGAATTTGATGGAAACAATTGCCAGAGGGTTGTTTAGCATGTTCTGGAACTTTGTGTTTATAGATTGTAATTAGACACAAGGCTTCCTAAAACCAGGTTTTTTTGTCCAACATTGTAGCCCAGGTTGGCCTCGAACTTCTTGGAACTCCTGATCCTCCTGCTTATGCACACACACACACACACACACACACACACACACACACACACACAAACAGAAAAAGAAAAAGGGTTCAGGCACACAAGAGGAAAAGGAGATTTTGATTCCAGTGAAGAAGGCAGCCCAGCACAGCTACCCTAGGACATGTGCTGACACAATGAACACGAACCTGCTTGCCTCTGACTTTTCCTGCTTGTAAACCTCACTGCAGTGTTAAAGCTTTGTGCCCCTCCACCCAGTTCTAGGATTAGAGGTATATACCACCATACCTGGTTTATGTGGTGCTGGAGACTGAATCCAGGGCTTCATACATCTTAGACAAGCACTATACCAATTGAACTGTATCCCTAGCTGTATCTCTCAATTTTGGTTTTGAGAGGCAGATTCAACTGCATGTTTCACAGCCAGTATTTTTTAATTTTATTTTTTAACTACCTGTTGCCTTTGAAGACAGCACTTTGGTTGCTCTTCTAGTCTCCTGGCTTTTGGAACCAACATTTATATATTTAAAAGGCTCTTCTTTTCCTATCTTACAATCCTCAGTATCAAAAGAGAAGAAAGCAAACTGACTCAAACTCACAAAAGGATCCTGCTGTTAAAAAAATCACATTTTTATCTTGGATTATGTAATTCTTTCCAAGAGATTATCAGCAACCAGATCAACTCTTAATGAACTCCAAACTTGCTCTGATTGTTCTGTGAATCCCCTGCCTAGTACACACTATCTCTCTATAACTTTGGAATCTAAACTCCATGAATTTCAATGAACTAGAAGAACTTCAAGTACTGTGTTAACTGAGATTTAGACATGTCATATTCTGGCCTTAAGCCCTAGAAACCAACAGACAAGAAATAAAATATTATATTTACAACATATTGGGAAACCATCTATTATTTCATAATAGCTTTAAAAAACTGGATTTGACAGCAGAAGACATATGAGACCAGGCTAATTACCCATCACTGTTAATATTTTGAAGAAGCAAATCAAATTAAAAGGGATTTGTTTTTCACATCTATAAAGAACAGCAGAAATCTGGTCCTTCTTAGAATTTTTTTCTAAATTTGCTTATTCTGTGATTCTATTTTTAAAAATTTTGATTTATTTATTTTTATTTTATGTGTATGAGTATATCACCTGCATGTATATAAGTGCATCCATGTCATGCAGTGGCCTCGAAGGACAGAAGCAGGCATCAGATTCCCTGGGACTGGAGTTGTGGACAGTTCTTAGCTACTATGTGGGTACTGGGATTTGAACCTGAGTCTTCTGCAAGAGCAGCCAGTGCTCTTATACTCTAAGCCATCTCTCCAGTCCAGTAATTCTGTGATCCTAAGTACTCTCCGGTTTCTTGTTAATTCCAAGCTTCAACTTCACTCTAGTTAAAGGTAAAGCTGACAAGTCCAAAGAACTTGTTTTTTAATTAGTGAAAATGTGTTACCAGAAAGAAATGTAAATTATTTTCCTCCCCACATTTATCTAAAATATTGTTTTCCTTTATGCCCAATATATCACCTCATTGCCTGAAGTGTGACAGATTTTAGTCTTTCCTCCCATTTTGATAGAGGTGAGGATATAAAGTATTAATTAGTTATTTCTTGAATTCACTGAAACAGTCCTGTGTTCATTTTACCATGGATGTTTCTAAGCACTGGGTACAGTGAACAAGCAGCTAAGACAGTCCAGTGGGAAAGGTGAATAACAGATAAACACAAAGTAACCAAGGTAGTATCAGCTAGTAGTAAGTCAGTGAAGATAACAAAACAGGATAACAGAGATGAATGTATGTTGAGTGATTAAAGAGGGCCTTTCTAGGAAATCTTCCCTTAAAAAGAGACCTGAATTATATACACAAGGAATTCACCATGTGAAGACCTGGGGATGAAGGTTCTAGACTGAGGAAGAACAGCATCAAGCTTCTGTGCTGGAAGCAAGCTCAATGTGTCCTGGGGAGATGAGCAATGCAGGATCCTGGCCAAAGACTTCAGAGGCCGGGCATGGAAGCCCAAAGGGTTGATCACACTCTCCTGGTCGGGGGGCGGCACACAGTGTGAGTGCAGTTATTAAAGTCCACTCTAGCTTGGCCATTCCATAATGGACAATCTCTCACACTCACACCTTTTGTCTTTCTAACAGTTTTTGCAAGAATCCTGCGGGCTCCTGAATCCCACAATGTCACCTTTGGCTCCTTTGTAACCCTACGCTGCACAGCAACGGGCATCCCGGTCCCCACCATCAGCTGGATTGAAAATGGAAACGCTGTGAGTGTCATGTGACTGGGAGCTTATTTAGGGAAGACTCACCGGTGGCAAACGTCTGGACACATCATGTTCATGTAGTGCTTCCATGGTCTGTAGATCTATCATCGGTCTTACTTCCACCATCTTTGGAAACTTTCCATTGCCATAGAAACCACTGGGGGCTTATTTTCCTGTATCACGGGTAGCAGTCAAATACTTTCTTTGTTTTTTTGTGTAAAATAGAAATAGTTATAACCCATGCTCACAAGTAAAATAATTTCCATAAAATGAACCAGTGAACCATCAGCTCACTGCTAGAGGCTACTTTGATGACAACCCCAAATTAGAACCTATCTCTGCCAGCTCAATATACTTTTCTTCATTTTTAATGGTGCTAATAATAGCTAATATGATTAGAGGATTATTTTGAGCCAGTCCCTCCTCTAAGCACTTTACACATAAGCATGCACTTACTCATTTTATAAATGCATTGAGCCTCTGAGCATTGAGTACTATTCTAGGCCTTGTTGAAACAATAGCAAGCAAAACGGGAGACTTTCCTTGCTGTCCGACAGCTTCCATTCTGATAGGAAAGGACAGACAATAAAATTAAACAGATTTGATGTGGACTGTGTCAACTACTACAAAAAAGAATAATAAGTAAGATGGGAAAAGAGAAAGTTTGATCATAGGTGACCGATTCCATTCTCAATAGAGCAGTTGAGTCTCATTGAGACAAAGACATCTGGGGAAAAATCTAAATGTGATGAGAAAAGACACTATGTAGACCGTGTGGGAAGAAGGTCTCTGAGATAAGGGTGTGCATGGTGTGTTGGAGGAGCAGCAAGGCCTATGTGGTTAACACGGAGTGAGCATGGAGATAAGGAGTGCGTGTGGCCACTAGGGGTCCTAGAGGCCTGTGCAGGTTCCTGAAGCAACTTTGATTTCTATTTGTCTGCCGTGGAATTGATTCAACTGCAGGTATGTTTCTTGTCTCTGTTTTTCCCACTGATTCTTATTCATTGTGCTTTGTTCCCTCGGGTGCCTACCTATCTTTGATTACTTACTATTCATTGTACTGGAATAAAACTGTCAAACTAATGTGGGTCTAGAGGAAGGTACATTCCTCTGGAAAGAAGTTTTGCTTGATTCTGCAGGGTCTAAGTTCTGCTACTTGTCTTGAGCCACTTTAAACCAAGCTCAAGGTTTTAAGCTCCTTGGAAGATAATGTGAGCTGTAATACTTCGTATGGAATGTTTCACTTTAGCTCCCATTGATATACTCTGATGCCTAGTTTGTGGAGATCATACTTTTCTGTGTCTCTAATTATTCTCTATAGTGTTAAATGAGCTCCATGTTTTTATTTTATTTTATTATATTTTTATGTGTATGCTCCATGTCTATTTGTGCACCATACACATTCATTGCCTATAAAGGTCAGAAAAGGGCATCCGAGTTCCTGAAACTGGAGTTACTGAAGGTTTCCAGTCTCTTAATGTGGGTGCTGGGAGCCAAACCCAGGTCCTCTGCAAGAGCAGCAAGTACACTGAGCCATCTCTCAAACTATGAGTTTTAATTTGTCTTTTCACTCCTTAAGGGCATCCAAAAGAAAGCTCAAACCTTCTGAAGTTGGGAAGTCTCTCAGGGGAAGAATAATACCCTAAGGTTTTTTTGTTTCTTTGTTTGTTTGTTTTTGTTTTACATATGTTCAGTTTTTTTTTTCTTTTAATGTAAAGTTTCATCTGAAAAATCTAGTTTCTCAGAATCTGAAAAGGGAACCTAATCAGAATTATTGTTGTCATTTTGGGGGGCACTGTCCCCTTATTTATTTTTTTTTGTACTTACTATCTGTTTTATAATTGCCTTTATGAGCTAAACAAAAATATTTTCTTAATGTCATAATTGCTTTTGATGTACATGTATTTAAAATAAATACAATACTTTGTCATCAATTATATCAATTCCTGATTTCACTCTAACTGGTTTCCCTTCCTTCCACAAGGCACTGCTTTTCTTGTTTCACTGTGCAGTTTCATCTTGTTCTATTTTCTGGTCAGGATTTATTGTATCCATTTTCTGGAGCAGGAACAGTCTGTTCTTTTAGTGGGCTCTCATGATCATGTTTCCTTGACAGACGTGCCAGCCTTATGGAATTGACTGGCAAGTTTGCATATTTTTCATTGGTGCAGAGCCTGAAGTAAGGACGGTGAGATGCAAATCTCTCTTAAATTCAGAAGTGTTTTCCGCTGCTCTACCTTTGAAGATAGCTTCTCTCTCCTCAACGTTCTTTCTAGTCAGACTCCTATTCATTGATTTTTTTCTCTGGGATGGCTCCATTGTCAACTTGACTAAGTTTAGAATCACCAAGGAAATTGGTTAAACACATCTCTGGGTATACTTGTGAGTGAGGCCCTTTGCAAAGAGTATTAACTGAGGCAGAGGTTGGGGATGAGACCCACTCTGAATGTTGAGTGGCACTCTTCCACGGGCTCAGGGCCTGGATAGAATTAAAGAGGAAAAAGGAAACAGCCTGCCTAGCTACTCCATTCCCTACCTCCTGGTCCTCTGCAATGTGAAGTGGGCTGCCCCACCATGCCACTCTTATAGCAGTGGGATGAACCTCCTGAAATTGTGAGGCAAAATAAATTCTTTCTCCTTTAAATTGCTTCTGTCAGGTATTTTGATGACAGCAACAAAAGTAAGTAAAACACTCTGAAAACTTCCATCTTTCTTTATTGAAATTTTTAATTTACTTTTTAGAATTTTATGTACATGAGTGTTTTGCCTGCATGTATGTAAGTACACCATGTGTGTGTAATGCCTGTGAAGGTCAGAAGAGGGCGTCAGATCCCCTAGAACTGGAGTTACTGTTGGATGTTAACTGCCATGTGGGTGCTGGGAACCTAACCTGGGTCCTCTACAAGAGCAGACAGTGCTAACCACTGAGCAATCTCTCTTCAGATCTACTACTCAATCTTTCTGGTTTTTTGTTTGTTTGTTTGTTTTGGCTATTTTTATGGAGGGAAATGTGGAGCTTTACTTAATCTATCAAACTCTTCTCGGGTTATAATGGTCACATAAGTGTGTCTCATGGGAATTTCCAGCAGAAAATCTCATTCACAACCTGTAGTTCCTCTAGTTCGTGAGCATAGGCCTCAGCCTTGAGCAGTGTGTGTACATATTCTTCCAGGACTTTACCATGATAGTTCATTTTAATTGTCAACTTGACTGGCTTTTTAGGATTACCGAAGAGACACACCTCTGAGTGTGTCTGCCAAGGCATTTTCGGAAAGGATTAACCAAGAAAGGAAGACCTACCTTGAGTGTAAGCAATGCCAACCCATGGGTTTGGGGTCCAGGACTGAACGAAAAGGAGAAAGAGAGCTGAGCACCTGCACTCATCTCCCTCTGCTTCCTGACAATGCACACAGTGTGACTAGCCACCTCACACTGCCACCGCCATGCCTTCCCCTCTGTGATGCCGCAACCCTTTCAAACTGTGGACCAAAATAAACTTCCTCCTTTAAGTTGCTTTCTGTCAGGCATTCGGTCAGCATGATGAGACAGCTGACTAAAATTCAGTAAATCTCTAAGCCAATTACCTGATCTTTGAAATCTCCATGATTCTCTAGGGCCAAAGATTTCCATTCTCTTCTCCATAGACCTTTTCTTTAGTGAACAATTTTTGTCACTTATTTGATGCTGATTTGTTCGCCAATCCAACTACATCTCTTTTTATCTTCCAAAAATTGCTGAAAATGCCTTTCTTTGACTTTGGTTCCTTTCCATCTTTCCTTGAGCATGTGTTGTTTAATATTAGACTTCATTTGTCTGCTGGGATTTTAGAAAAAAAATGAAAGTTAAAAGCTATGAGCTAAGATTATGATCATCATCATTCAGGTATTGAACAGGTATGACTTACTGTAGTATAAACTGGATATTATTTTTTTTCTTTGACCTTTAAATTTTGTCCAGCTGACTCTTTCTCAAAGGGACACATTCATGGTTCTTCAGACATTCAAAGCAACACCAGGATATTCTTTCTTCAGGCTGTCCATCTTCTGCTTAGTCCCCCAGTTTGTATGATGGAAATCTGTCTGATAGAGTCTAATCAATCTGTTAAAGGTCCTCTTGGGAAGACTAAAAGTAGCTCTAATCAGGTCTTCTATTGAACTTTTTTATCTAGAAACTCTGTGAGTCCAGCTCATCAGATGGCATGACCTCCCGTTTGTTTCTTCCTCTTGAGCAGCTGGGAAGCCCCTTTCTACCCTTTAGATATTTGTTCATCATGTCTCCAAAATGTAGATGTGTTGGATTCCCAAGATCACATTCATGTTTGAAGCTTCTTCTAAAAGACCCACAGAACTCATAAAACTGGTTATAGTCATGTTTATAGTTAATCACAGGAAAAGGATACCAATTAAAATCAGTACAAGGGAATCGGTCTTCCTATCCATGCAAAGCTGCACAGACAGCATTTAATTCTCCCACCAATGATACATGACAGCCTAGATGAAGGAAGTTCACCCTGGCTTGGATGCTCCGAATGTGTTCTAAGCATCTACTACATAGATGGAATGCTCACACGACATGTCACACCCTAGCTAGTCACTGGCTCCAGAGGTCACACTGACACAAGAAGACCTACTAAACCAAGTAAACAAAAGCAGCTATTTCCCATCATTTACTCTGTAAATGTAATCAGCTCTCTGGCATGCCCAAGCTCTCAGGGAATCATGAGCTCTCTCAGGTAGGATGTTCAAAGTGGTAATAGGTCATCTGACAGAGGCCAGTCAAAGGGCAGGCCTCTATTTGTAATGTACAGGGTATGAGTACCAGGAGTGCATTGAATTGATTCTTTAATCTTTTACTTCACAACAAAAAACATTTGTCAACTCCCACTGCCATATCAAGGATATTCCATCATATTTTAAAGGGAAATTGTGGGGCTGGAGAGATGGCTCAGTACTGGTTGCTCTTCTAGAGGACCTGGGTTCAATTCTCAGTACTCACATGGTGGC